CTAAAAATGAGTGTGAATTTGACAAAGGGGTCCGGTTCTGGCATAAATATGGAAACCTTTGTTACATTGTTTGTTGGTCCCCACAAAAATAGTCGTCGTTTTATTTTGCACAGTATGTTGGATCCTAAATCTATGGGTCTTAACTAACTTTGTCACAATTTCAGAATTTTTGTGTAGTTGAAGCGACTTTAACTTGGTTTTGGAGTAACTCATATTCAAATTCGAGTGACCATGCATTTATAAAATAGTTCGGGCTTTGATCCATAAGAAGCTTGTTTCACATCAACTGACATATATTATACATATATAATTTTTTCTATCTAGGTACTCTTTATACTACCTAAGACTTCTTATAGATGATAAAACTCTCTCCCCATCGACTAATGCGAATTCCGCATATCTGATAAAGCTAGAAGAAAGTCTCTATAGTCTCCATCTTCAACATTCTCCCTAATGGCATCCTGCATCTTCATCCCATAGTTTTTCTCGAAGACCGCACTCACTTTTTCGATCCCAACATCTGCACTGCCCGTCATCATCACTCTTATCAGAACTCTCTTCGCAGTCGGTTCTCCCTTCAAGCTCGAAAAAATCATCTGAAAAAACACACAAAATTTTGATAAACATAATTTTTGATGTAGAATTAACATTCTGTGTGTTGGTACCTCAGAGTAGTAATTAGTAGGATCACACATGCATTGAATGACAACTCTCAGTGATTCCTCGAATTCGATACTGTCTTCTCTCTTCAGTGTCTGTAATGTTCAGAGCGTGTTAAGCGTTAGGAGCAGCAATTCTCGATAAATTTAAGTAGAAAAGTGTAGCCAATAGCTTAAAAGTACTAGTTTTTCGACCAATTCATACTCAGTTACCACAAAGACCCCAGTTCGATCTTCAAATGGATATTGATGATCATGTTTTTAATTAAATTCAAGTTACACTGATCAATCCTGTGTTATCCACCACTTCTCTAAAATTTCGAAATAAGTTGAAGCGGAACTTGTTTACCTTAGAAAAATCATGCCCATATATTTGCTTGTAGCTAGAGAATGCGAGCCTGAGCTGAGGAACACTTCTTTTACTGAAAATCTCAAGGATGGTCGCCTCATCAATCCCTCCTGTGCTCATTCTGATTGCTCCATACAACTTCATGGCATCACATTTGGCTATATGCTGACTTACTTCCTCATTGTGAGACCTATGAGATGTCGCTAGCGCAGCCAAAATCTGTTATTACACCGCAAACTCTATTTATCATACTTGACACGTACTGAGTACATTAATGTTGGACCTAGATCCTCTTCAATTAAGCAGTATGCGGTGAGCGCCCAATTGTCTCAATCCTTCTAGCTTGTCTATTCTAGTTTCTAGATAGAAGATAGGACCACATAGTATTTTGACTATTATCTTTGAAACTAACCATTGTGATAGTTGAAATCCTACATGGTCTTATCTTATCCCTTTAAACTTGAATGCACAATTAGGGTAACTCTATCCAATTACCACATAATAAGAGGGGATCTGGATCCAGTAAAGTGAGTATTACATTAATAGTTCTAGCATATACGTTATGAACATACTCTTTGATAAGAATGAGATGCCTCGGTAACAATCTCCTGATCAAGATGCCTTCTGAACTTGCTCAAATACACCTGCTTAGTGAAAAAGAGCTGGTTCGACTTGCGACGCGCATATATCTCAACCAGAGCCCTGTAATCCACCTCACTTCGCTCAAGCGCACTGTGCGCAACCACAGCATCGCGCACCTGTGGCTCAAGCATCCACAAGTACAAGGCTGCACATACCGGCACATTTTGCTGCTCTTGGAGGTGATCAACCAAGTCCTTGTTGTACATGGCTTTGTAGTTCTCCTTGATTTGTTGCCTCTCTGCCGGAGTCCGATGAGCTAGGATAACGGCTAGTTGGCCTGGGCTGTCGAATGATGTGTGGATTTCTCTGCATTCTCTCTCAAAAAAGGTATTGGATGGGGTTGTACTGGAGGTGAGGGCCATTTTCCCTGAGGAGGTTGGGGTGTTTGATTGAGAGTGAGTACAAAAGTATTGTTCTTATAGGGAGTTTGAGTGATATCTTGGAAACCAAGCAATTGGACTTTTCAGATTCTAAAGTAGCAACAAAGGTGTAGAAAGTTTTGAAAAGTCCTTTTCGGGGTCAGTAAAAGTATAAGTCTTCAACCCTCTTAGCATCTTAAGAGTATTGGTGCACTCGACATGAACTTTGATATGGTATCAAAACAATCGATATCGAAATCTTATGAAAAAGGCTCATCGCATTATCGAGTTTTGGTGCACTGAAAGTGACCTTCGACATTAGGCGTGTCGAAATTTCGAAGTTACCGCAGACTTGAGTATTCTTTTTCTCCAGGCTGGGTATTCTTTCTTATGGACTATAGTTGCAACATCCGAAGTCTATTTTGAGTATGTTTGTTTGAATCTAGAACTCTCGTAGTATCTTAAAAATATATACTTCTTTTAATACGCCGAAAGTTTGAACTGATTTTATAATACTCTTTAGTGGCCACCTTTAGACTGATGTGGAATTAGAAATGGCCACAGGTTAGGTATGCGTAGGTGAAGTTTATTTTGGCATTGCTTTAATGGAAATCCAAGTAGGCTCTGAGTGTGATGCTGAATTTTTTTTTGTTTGTGCTCTTTTTTTGTTTTTTTTTTTTACTCCAGCTTTGTGCTTTCTCTCCCACAGCTGAATGCTACCCTGGCTTTCCTCCAATGACCTTGCCAACGTGTGATCATGTGTTTGCTTGTTGGTATCTCCACTAGAATCCATGGGAGGGTGGGTCCACTACTTTGCTTGAGCCAGCAAGCAAGTTGCCCAAGGGCTGTCATTCTTGTGTGAGTAGGTTGCAGGGGACTAAGAAGGCCACATGCCATTGTTTTCCTAGGGGGGGCGGCGGCGGCGACGGTAGTCTTACATAGTTGGATTTTTCTGGAAGTGCTCTCTAGGTCATGTTAATTTTGAAATAATTTTTTTAAAGATGTATTTTATAAAAGCAAAAAATAGGTGAGGACACTCCTAACCATTAAAAGATGTGCGGCCTACATTTTTATCTCTTGATAGCTCATATTCGTGAAACACTTCACAAAATAAGCTCTCCAAATTACTTGAAGTTATATAGCATTGTTTTGGCAAAATGTCAAAAACTGGGCCAAGATCAGTTCCGGTCCAGTTTCATCCTAAGCTAGCTTTAGTTTGGATCAGCTCTCCTGGTCCCAACTAAAACCAGTTTAGGGGCCTTTTTTGGCTTATAAAAATTGGGCCAGCATTGGTCTAGTTTTTTACTAAATAAGAAAGCACTCAAAATTGGGCCAAGTTTATTCCTAAGCCAACTTTAGAGTATTGCCAAACGCACTTATTTATTGTTAAATTAAGCATAGTTTAACCAATAATTAGTTAAAGTCGTTTATCAATCACGTTACCACCAATAACCGTCTATTGCTACTGTCACGGCATGCGGCAGACATCCACCATTCACAGCGACTTGTCTCCAGTGGTAACGTATGTTACTGCTGCTAGCGAAGGGAGGGGGATAGTCAGAGTAAGCTCGCATAGGGTTACTTAGGGCCTGTTTGGTTATTTCCACAAAAAAATCGGAAATGGAAAACTCCCTCTTGAAATGATTTCAGCACATTTCAAGAGTTTTCCCAGTTTTCTTTTTTTTTTGTTTCACAAAGAAAACTCCACATTTCACTGCCAAGTCGCACAAACAGGCAAGAAAAGCCCCCATAGTAACAGTGCCTTGATTTCTATTTCTTATGTTTGTTTGAGAACAAGAAAAAAGGAATGAGAAACCAGGGTATTAAATATTATGTTTTTTATTCTTCTTCACTATTCCAACAGTGCTTTTACTAATTAATAATTCAAAGAAGTGACATTTCCAAGTGTTTTCAGTGGTTTTTGTTGTGAAAACACATTTCTTGAAATTGTGATGTGACATCCTACGTGGCACTTCATTTCTTGAAATTTAAAAACGAAACAAACATGAGAAATGGAAAACTCTTGAAAACAAAAACCCATGTGGCACTTGTTCATTTATTGACATTGAGGTGGCAACACATTTTCGATACTTTTTTGAGGAAACAAACAGACCCTTAATGTATAATGAATTCATATTTTAATTTAAAAAAATACTAATGTTGACTTCTAATTAGTTTACAGGATTTTGGAAATTTGTTTTTAAAAATCCATCTCTGGGTGACCTAATTAAATATAAACATGAAGGACCAATTCGAAAATACACATTATAGCTTCTATAGTTTCTATTAGGGATGCACAATAATATCTGTATCCATATCCGTTAGGATGCATGTTGTGGGTCCAGCCCAAGATAATGCCCACATGATGTTCACATGAATTAAAATTCTATCTAGAAGAGGATTTGGATGATCTATTTATAATAGGAATAGGTTTAGAGAATTCTATTTATGAGAATCTTGTAATTTTTTTGGAGCTACAGTAACCGGCTACAGTAACCGAGAGGGAAAAAAGGAGTGAGAGAAAGTTTGGATTCCAGATAGCTCGGTTGTCCGATTGCAGTGATTCAAACGTCGTTGTCTTCAGAACGACGATGCCATCGAGAGTACGTACGGTGCTAGTTTCTCCACGGGTATTGGAGATTTTTGGTGAGATGAGTTTTAGGATTTTGGTGCCCTAAAAGTAACACTGTATTTTTCTCTTGTGATTTAAACTTCAACTTCAGGTGTAACTTGGAGGAATTGTACTCTTGATTCATAGTGAAATATTTCTCTCTGAATTGCCCCGTGGATGTAGAAATGATTTGTCGAACCACGTTAAATCTTGGTGTTTGCTTGCTTGTAGTATTTTCATTGGTGTTATTATTTGTTTAGTGTTTAATTTCGTAGATTAATCTCCATAAAATCTCTAACAAGTAGTATCAGAGCCCTATTTCGAGGCGTGCTTTGGAATGGAAAAGATGAAGAGTTTTAGCACAATGATAAAATTGGATGGTTTCAATTGGCAAGTATGGAAGTCTAAGATGGAAGATATTCCGTATTGTAAAGATTTACATGACCCTATTGAGGGAGATGAAGCCAAGCTAGAAAAGATGACTGATAAAGAATGGGAGAAACAACACAGGAAGGCGATCGGTTATATTCGATGTGGATCGACGTTAGTGTGTTTCATCATGTATCGGGTGAGACTAATGCAAAGTCTCTTTGGAAGAAACTTGAGGATCTCTACGAGCAGAAGACCATGGGAAACAATGTGTTTATTATGAGGCGGTTGGTGAACTTGAAATTCAAAGAAGGAAGCAACATAGCAGGGCACTTGAATGAGTTCAAGAGTTTGATTAATCAGTTAGCTACCATGAAGATGACTATCAATGATGAGTTATAGGCTTTATTGCTATTGGGTTCTTTGCCAGATAGTTAGGAGACACTGGTTGTGACAGTCAGCAACACATTTCCAGATAGTGTGTTATCGATGAGTATGATTACTAGTAGTTTATTCAATGAGGAGACTCGGAGGAAGTTTACCAGCACAAATAACTCACAAGCACTTGTCAAAAAGAATAGGGGCAGGAGCAGGTACAGGGACCAATTCAGAGGTCGTGGCACATCTAAGGACAGATTAAAGTCTAAAGGGAGAGGTTATTTTTATAGTGGGAAGCCAGGTCATATCAAGAAGAATTGTTGGGCATTGAAGAAAAAGCAAGCTGGGAACAAAGATAAAAAAACGATGAGAAGAAAAAAGCGGATAGTGATACTATAGCTACTTTGTCTAATACCGATGTTATTCTCATTTGTAGGGAAGAAGACTGTATGCATGTTACAAGTCAGAATTCTGAGTGGATAATGGATACAGGAGCTACATGTCATGCTACCTCCAATCAAGACCTTTTCACGTCGTATAAAGCAGGTGACTTTGGCAATGTGATGATTGGCAATACCAACTACTCGAAGATTTTAGGACTTAGTGATATACACTTGCAGACAGATACCGGATGCACATTAATCTTAAAGAAGGTGCGACATGTTCTCAATTTACGACTCAACTTGATTTCAGGTCTTACTTTGAACAAAATGGGATATGAAATTCAATTTGGTGGAGAAAAATGTAAAATCACCAAAGGCTCTCTTGTAGTGGCTAGAGAAAGTATATGTTGCAATTTATATAAGACTCAAGCAAAGACTTCATATAATTATTCGAGCGTGGCTCAAGACGGTGACATTCTCAGTTTGTGGCATAGGAGGCTCGGGCACATGAGCGAGAAGGGGTTGCAGATATTGGCAAAGAAATCTCACATTCCTTTTGTCAAATGTTTGTCACTCACCCCTTGTGATTATTGTTTGTTTGGCAAACAACATAGAGTTTCTTTTAGTAAGCCTTCTAAAAGAAAAAAAATAATATCATGGATTTCATTTATTCTGATGTTGTCCTATTGAGGTGGAGTCCTTGGGTGGCAGTAAGCATTTTGTTATATTTATTAATGATGCATCGCGAAAGATGTGGGTGTTTTTATTAAGGACAAAGGACCATGTGTTTTCAGTCTTCTAGCAGTTTCATGCCATGGTGGAGAGACAAACATGAAAGAAGTTAAAGTGTTTGCACACGAATAATGGAGGAGAGTGCACTTCCATTGAGTTTAAAGTTTATTGCTCAAAGCATGGTATTCGACATCAGAGGACAGAGTCCGACACACTGCAGTATAATGGAGTTGCAAAGAGGTACAACGGGACCATTATAGAGAAAGATGCATGTTGAAGATGGCGAAGTTACCTAAGAGCTTCTAGGCTAAAGCTGCTCGCACTACATGCTACATAATTAACAGGTCTTCTTTAGTTCCTTTGGGTTTTGATATTCCAGAGAGAGTTTGGTCCGGAAAAGATATTTTTTATTCTCATCTGAAGGTGTTTGGTTGCAAGGTGTTTGCACACATTCCAAAGGAGAAGAGACAGAAGCTTGATGATAAAGTGGTTCCTTGCATCTTCCTTGGTTATGGAGAAGATGAGTTCGGCTACAAACTATGAGATCTAGAAAAGAGACGAATTATCAGACGAGCAGATTT